GTTTAATAATGAAAAGCCAATAGAACTAAATAAAACAAGCTATAGAATAAAAATAAGATAATAAAAGTTAAAGTGCAGAGTAAGATATACATAGCAATTTGATTTAATCGAAAACAGCGGTGAAAGGAAAAGTCTTCCGCTTGGATGTAAAAGAAGGTTGAGCTCAGTGCTGTATAAACCGGCAGCAGTCATTTAAAGTCAATTCTTTGACAGACAGGAAGCCAGTGTAAAGAACTTCGATGTCACATTGCAAAAGGAAAAAAATTGTTTTCTTTTGATTTTAAAATGGTTTAGAGTGTCTGTTTTTATTTTTTTTATTTTGCACTGGAACTGAATTTCCATGTTGTATGAAAAATAAATGACCATCAATGTGTTGCTGGGCAATAATAAAGCATCAAGTATAATATAGTAGTAAAGATTCATATTTTAAGATCTCACATTCTACGAGATTATTAGATTGATAAACCTCCCACATTACCAATACCATTTTATATTTATAAATCCAAAACTACTCACAACAAATGATAATTAATATTTTCATTAATCCTTTTTTTTTTAAATATATATTTTATCTATGTATTGATTTAAGACCAGTTATGTTACAATACTGCAAAGGTCCAAAAGACAATGCCATAACATAATGTATCTGTTTGTTGTGTGAATCTTAATGTTAAACTTTGTTGAGAAGTTGTTCATGTATTTGTTTATCATCAGTGTACCGTCATTGTTGGAATCATGTTGGTTCATAATACTCAAAAGTGTTTAACCTTTGTAAAACTGAGCCATGCTCTGTCTGAATATAAGCTAACCTTTAAGATCTATTTCAGCATCAGCTTCCCGCCCATTCAACTTACTAAAAACTCACAATGACATTTCCAAGTAATAACAACAGTAATAATATGCTTGTGTATCTATCCCAAACGTGTACCACCAACTCAACGCATTTTCTCATCTCAGTTTTAGAGTCAACGGTTCCACATTTCATATTGTGCTTTCTTTGAATGTGTTACTTTTAAATGAGTGGTGATTTCCAATGGGGAAGGGGCTCCTGTCCTCGTGCTGCTTCCTGCATCTCCATCTGATATTTTTTTTTTTTTTTTTTTCAGACGTGATGTACATGAGTGAAGCTAAAGGACGGGCATTTAAGGATTTAAAAACATAAGTTTGTTGGGGTACTACAGGTAGAAGTAATGCACCTTTAATCAATAAAGTAATTCACTGGAAATTAATTTTCATTTGTCTTCATATATTAACGCTACGCGTCAAAAAGATGCAAGTAATTACATGAACAGTGGAGGCAGTATGTCAGCTACTTATTCTACTGAGTTAACACCTACAACACATGAACTGATTGAACGTTTGGCATTCTTCTGGATGTTTGGATCAGTTCTCAAGAAAAATGTCCTTCCATGTTTGATCTGCCCCGATCTGTGCCCTAGTTGAGATAATTCTTGATCTTCCAGGGACACAAACTATGTTGGCAACTATGTTAACAACAATAAGTTAGAGCAGAGAGGGAAGGAGGAACATGATCTGCAAACTATGGGGAGTAGGTCATCTGTCAACCAAGGACATTCAGAGAAACTAACAGAAGGGTGGGACTCAGAGAAAAGGTTGCAGTTCCTTATGTCCAGAGTCCTGGTCCTGGATTCCCTGAGAAAATATTCTCTCACTGCGTCATGTCTGATTTGACTTTTTGTACCTCATTGTATGATATTCCGTTGGTTTTCCTAGCTGTTGGTCATTTCTCAAATGTACGCCTCCTTGACTCCTCGATCCTGCAGCAGTGACCCAGAAATCTATCTCAGCGCGCCATCTTGAAGGACATTAGGATGACATGACTCTCTTTTCCAGGACAGCGCTGCTTGTTGTGTGTTGGGGCTGAAGGTGTGTGTAGGGGCTGAAGGTGAGTGTAGCGACTGTGTTTGTAGGTACGTATGTAGGGGTTCCTATGTGTGGGTCCTATGTGTATAGGTCCTATGTGTAGGTCCTATGTGTAGGTCCTATATGAAACGCGACAGACATTACGGGTGTCTTGGTTTGGTTTCCCCTGATGCTTTGGGGGGG